GTCGTCGGATTCGTGACGCCGCGAACCAAACAACAGCTCCAATCGTTCCTGGGGCTGACTGGGTACTATCGCCGGTTTATTCGAAATTACGGCAAGATCGCGCTCCCCCTCACGCGGTTGTTGCGAGGAGTGGGAAACCGGGTGGAGTGGCCCGCCGGGACGTGGACGGCAGAACAGTCGGGGGCCTTTGAGGCCTTGAAGCAAAGATTGGTAAAAGCGCCTGTTTTGGCCAAGCCCAACTTCAGGCTACCATTCCTAGTGGATTGTGATGCAAGCAGGTACGCCGTGGGGGCTGTCCTTTCACAGGTCACGGGAGATGAAGAACATCCCGTCTATTATCACTCCCGCGTCCTAACCCCGGCGGAGCAGAATTACTCCACGATCGAACGCGAGTGTCTCGCGATCGTCGTAGCAGCGTCAAAGTTCCGTCCCTATATCCTGGGGGTGGAGTGCACTGTCCGTACCGATCACCTACCGGTATTGGGATTATTGCGGCGAAAGGATTTGACGGGGCGTTTGGCAAGATGGAAATGTTTGCTCGCCGAATTTGCGCTAACATTCGAGGCCAGGAAAGGGAAGTGGCATCAAAATGCCGACGGATTGTCTAGGATGCCAAGGCAACCGATTGACCACGCCGAAAACGATAGCGTGGACGAGCTCTGTTACACCGCGCATGAGCTAACTGGGTTGGACCGGTTCGCGGAGTCCCCTTGGTACCAGGAGGTGATCAGCTGGAAGGGAGGGAGTTCGGGAGATGAAAGAAGCGGTCTCCCGGAAGGTTACGAGGAAAAGGGAGGCAGGTTGCTCCGGCGCGAGGCAGATGGAAGTTATCGGCTCTGCCTCTTGGAGCATGAGGCAGCGATGGCCATTCAGCAAGCTCATGATCACCCCATGGGAGGCCATTTCGGAACCAAGCCAACCATGGAGAAAATTCGGAGGCAGTTTTGGTGGCCGGGAATGCATCAGCAGGTGAAGGAGTATGTGGAGACATGTAGGGCCTGTCAGGAGCATGGTAGGCGCCAGAACCCCAAGCACTATACTCCCATGATAGTAGAGCAGCCGTGGTCCGTTTTGCAGCTGGATTGGGTGACAGCCTTGCCGGCAACCCCGGATGGAAACACGTGTATCTTAATGTGCGTGGACTGTTGTACTGGGTACGTCATGGGAAGGGCATTTGCACGGGCCACCGCACTTGCCACTACTGCATTTTTCGTGGAAAACGTGGCGTTCAAGTTTGGGGTGCCACTGTCCATTCATACTGACAATGGCACGCATTTCCTGGGGGCATTTCAGTTGCTGTGCTCCAAATGGGGGATTAAAATGAAGAAAAGCGCCGCATACTATCCACAATCACATGGGCGGGTGGAAGCTGCAAATAAGCTGGTTTTGGATAGGTTGCGAAGAAGTGGGAACGCGAATTGGGACCACCACTTAGCAGCCAGTTTATTCGCCATAAACACTCGAGTTACGCAGGCGCAAAATCCGTCGAGCCTGGAACTGTTGTGCGGAGTGAGAGCACGCAGCCCCATCGAGGCTCAGATTTTGACGGAAATTGTGGGGGACCAATCGCTGGAATTCGACGGAGAGGGGGCCACCAGATGGGGCAGGATGAAGGAGGCCCGTCAGAGGTTTCAGGGGCTGCGTCAGCGACTGTACGGTAGCAGCCACCCTCGGGCGGTGGCGCATGACGCACTGGCGGTGGGCGACCCCGTCCTATGGCGCAACGAGCGCCGGGTCGACAAGCTGGCGCCGACCTGGAAGGGCCCCGCACGGATAATTTGGCGAGGTAAGAGGGGAGCTGTGGGAGTTGCGGTGGGCGCTAACGTGCGGACTTTCGCGCGCCACCAAGTCCGGCCCTGGCGCGCGCGAGATGAATCCGACGGCCCAGGAATTGGCGGACGCGCTCGAAGCATGGAGGGCCAAGCGGGCGCAACAAGTCCGGTCGCCAGGCAGGCAAGGCGGCGGCGAGGAGGAACAGCCGCAAGTCCCCGAGGAGCGACAGGGGATGGAGACCGATCCGCAGACCCCGCCGCAAGCAAATGACGGGGAGCCGGTTGAGCCGCGCAGCCAAGAGGACGGTTCCGCGCACGAGAAAGCGTGCGAATGGGAGTTCGTGCCGGAGGCACCTGGGTACGTTGACTGGGCGTCGACCGAGTGCGACGCGGTTCCGCGACGTGCGGCGCGCGCGTGACAGGCCAGCGCAGGCGCATTGACGGGCCTGCGCGTGACGATGAGGGGAGCAGCGGCGGGCGACGCGGATGGCACACCTGAGGATCCACGCGCGGCGATGCGGCCGGTCGCTCCACGGATCGCACGGCAGGGGCCCCCTCCACTCTCCGCCGCGGAACGCTCCCGTCGCAGCCGATCCTTCTTGAGGGGCGGCCGGTGGTTCACTTGGGGCGAGGAGGGGTCCCTGTACGTATGGAGCAGGGGAAGACCGGGAAACGGGGGCGTGTGGGTGCTGGTGACGGGCCCGGGACTGGAACTGACGGGCGCTGACGCGGTATGGTACCGCGGCCCCTCGACCAACGAATTACGTTGGACAGAAGGATACCGGGCGGGCTGGCAGGAGTGAATCGCGCGGACGGGGTAAATCGCGCAGGAGGATCGGCGAGACAGGTATTGGGCGGAGCTGTCCTGGTGGGACCCAGGACTTTTGGGGTAATGTACTGTAAGGAAAAAAAGGGAGTCCTGGCCCTGCGGCAGGTCGGAACGGCAGTCATTTAGAAGATGGGTGCAGTGGGAAGGTAGTCAAGGTAGTAGTGAAGGCTTTGGGACAGGAATTAGGACGGGCTTGGGGTGACTTCGCGCTAGTATGGCTTTGGGACAGGAATAGGGAGGGCTAAGGGAGACTACGGGGTAGAGCATGCGGGTGGAAGTGGGACAAGCTGGCAAGGGGTAGTTGGGATGCTGGGTTTCAATGGGAAGTGCAAGGGAAAGCAGTACGGACAGAAAAGGAGCCAGCAAGGGTGCAAGTAAAAACGAACGAGGAACTTGTACTATAAATGGATGCTCTTATGTGTAAGAATGCCCCTCTGCGCCCGACGCCCTGCGGCGGACGGCACTGGCTCAAAGTGTTCTGAGTGCGCGTGAGCTCTACAACGAACGAGCAAAGCGTTGGTCCATCGCGCGTGATCCCCGCTACCTTGCATAAACAAGGACTTACACCTGTTTGCTGCCCAGTACATCCGCGCTCCAGTGCGAGGGCCGCACCGGGGCACAATGTACGTATCGCCCTGGTCACCCTTATTGGAAACCAAAGGGACGGTGATGATGTAGGACGTCTCCCACCCGCCAGACCCCATCCCGTTGTTGCGTCAGCCATCACCGACAACGACACGACCCTCCGGTGCACCCTGGGCCAGTCCAGGCCCCCGGATCGCCACGATCCTGTACAGCGCCCAGTATATCGATAATACACTACGGCGCCTCGCCACGCGCACGGGCACACCAGGAGGCCTGCGCCACCGCGTGCCCCGGTGCCTGGGCGCGCGGCCAGCTTTCTGGGCACTTGGGCGCTGCCCGCCCCATTTGTAGGCCGGCATTTGAGCAGGGTGGTGGTGGGATCCCGCCTTTTAGGGTGGTTGTCCCCAAGGACCTGACGGCGGGATCCGCCCCATGACTCGCAGGTGAGCCCTTTGCGACATCCAAGCCAAGGGCTCAAGGCGCCAGGCGCCAGCCTTGGCATTGAGCGCCCGCGCGGGCGCCTCCCAGCCCTTGGAACGGGGTATTTGGACAAGTCGATGCGCAGAGATGAGCTCTGAGGGTTGATGCCGCGCCTCGTAAGCGACTGTCGACCTGCGGGAAAGCACAGCGGCGCCTGCCGGTGCCCCTCCGGAAGCTGCGGGCGCTCCGGAACCTCAGAGGCCGGCGAGGGGAGGCCGCTGGATATCATGAGATGCAGTGGCAATGGGCGGAGGGCCGAGTGCGCCGCGGATTTGTCTTTCGCGCGGGTTGCGTGTGCTGAGGTTTTTGGCGCCTCGGGGAGTTTGGGAATCGCGGCACGCTGTGGGAAGCTTCGGCCGGACGGGGGCGCAGGGCGAGTGGATGGGCGGTGGCGGGAGCGGGGGCTCTGGGCGCGGTGGCTGGAGGAATTTTGAAGCGCGTTTGTCCGCGAGCGGGAAGCGCGGCGGCCTGTGCGTTCACGAGATTGCCGAAACAGGATGCTGGTTGCCCGAATGGCCGGCGCGCTTGCCTGGATTGCTGTCCCTGCCTTTGTGTTGTGGGCATCCAACGGGTGCTGATTCGCTTTTGATGGTGGAATGGGAGCGGAAGGGTGTGTCCATTGCGCGTCTGGCCCGTTGGCGCGCTGCATGTCTGGGAGATTGGTACAACTTTTTTTGAGCGGAACATTTGGGGGTGTACATTGAAAATGTCCAGTACCAGACACACTCCGGAAACATGAAACCGATTTGAAATTTCTGGAAGCTGGATCACCAAGATTCTGGTAGTTTCCTTGTCTTTCTTGTGGGCCCTGTATTTGAGCCCTTACTCCATGGCCTTGTCATTCTGGTTCTGATGGAAGAGGCCCTTCGCAGAACTGGAGGGGTCGCTGCAGTGATTTGCAGGGTGCAAGCTGCACAGCTCATTCCAGCAGGTTCCTGCTTGTCCTTGCACTGTCCCTTGTGGTTGTCAATGGGCGATTTCTTGAGCAAACTGCTTAGATTCCTGCATCACAAGCTGCCTACTTGGCCTGGGACTCTGCTACTGCATTGGAAATACTGCAGCAGCCTTCCGTTGGTTGGAAAATCACAAGTACATGGGTATGCATTTGTACAGGCTGGGAACCCCATTGCTAACCTTTATATTACTACTCTTCAACAATTGCTGCATCCCATGGCTTGTGACAGAAGCGAATTTGATTACCAGGGTTATTCCATTGGTGCCGCATCGAATCTGACCAGCACAGCAAAGGTGGCCTCCCTCAGCGATTGGGCTGGTCAGGCCACGTCAGCTGAGTTTGGAGGAAGGACGAGGGCAGGAGCCTGGACACTAGCAGCATGAGGTCACAAAGAGAAAAACAGACCAAGTCCAAGATTGTGAGTTGAGAGAGTGCATTGTACAACATGTGTAATGTCATCTTTGAAGTGAGTTTTGATCGATGGCTGCAATGTGCTACAGTCTCCACATTTTATCTTTGATATTAAAGAACGCAGCGAGCGGAGTTAGAGTTGCCTGCGGTAACGAAGACAAAAAATTGGCAGCCATGATGTCCAAGCATGAACGGAGGAATCGGGTGACAGCAACGTGTGCGCATCCTGCTTGTGGTGCTTGTTTCTAAACCTTGTTGATAGGCCTCTCCGAAAAGTACAAGCACCCTTAGTTCTTGCCAAGTTCTGTGCAGCGTTACCCTGTGGTGCTGGTGTTCCGCTTGCTGATTGTTCTGGTGTGCTGCTGTCACATTTGATGTGTGCGCCTGTGGCATTCCCACCCAGAGGGCCAAGAACTCAGATAATGGCGTCCCTGATTCCCCAAACGTTGTAGAGAAGTGGGGCAAGCAGGTTGAAGGATGGTTTGCCCAGGCGAAGCCTGACGACAATGGCAGGTATGCTCACAGAAGTACCCACTTGCTGCAGCATCTCAGCTGCGTTCTTTGTGCTATTGTATCCCCGAACAAAGATTTGTCCAATCACACCAGATTGAGGCAAGCCTGCCAGTGTGATCAGCATTTGCTATCCATCTGCTGGCAAGTGCGAAGTGTCTTTCCTCTGGGTTCTCTGCAGAGGCAAGTAAGAAGGGAATTCCAGCAATTGGTGAGCAGTTCACACTGTGACGGGTGGAGGAGAGCCTGTCAACCCCTTTGAAATGTTTGCACAGATGCAGGTGCAACCTGAGGTGGCTTTTTTTTGCTCATCATTTGTGCTTTCTATTTGTGGTAATCCTGCAGAGTGAATGGCCATGATGCAGTGGCGTTCTTCAAACGGTCGGGCCTCGATTATGACGATCTTGCAAAGGTTTGTCCAAGCTATGGAGATCCCGCACTGACTGAGGTTTTGCTCACCACTGTTGCCCTCCTGAGTGTCAGGCACCTAGCAATTCACAAGAGTCTAATAGACATACCGGAAAAAACCAATATGGCACATTGTACAGACCCTATTTGTATATGCACATCCTTTCTGTGGGTGGCCGTCAGTGCACATTGTCGTTCTGTGCCTCTTCAGTCAAATAACTTCGGGACATGGTGCTGTCAGTTTGTCGGCGTCATGCAGCCTTATCTTGACGCACATGACCATCCTACACACTTGTTGCCCAGCCCCTGCTGTGTTTCTTATCAGAAACTTCTCCAGATGAACTGTTTTGGCACTGCAAGACAGCCATTGGGGCCAACGCACACACCGAACTGGCAGAGCTCTGCAACTTGATATTCATGTGAATCTCCAGAGATTCATTTTTTGCTCATAGTTCGGCCCTCCCCATCCCCCTTTTCTATTCATTCATCAGCGCTGCAACAAATCTTGTTCTTGTTTCTTGTCTCTGCTCTTCCAGGTGTGGGATAAGGTGGTTCCACCAAAGGATGACAAAATGGACAGACGACAGTTTGAGAGCGCTCTGAAGCTGGTAGCACTCTTGCAGGTGACTGGGTTAAAGAGTTTCGACTATGCTGTTGCCTGGCTACCAACTGAATTTGCCAACATCGCTTCTGAGCTTGGCCTTGCCTTCAACTGATTTTTGCTGCAGAGGGTCTTCAGAATGTATGGTTGTTGTGAAAGCTACTCATCGTACATTGTGTGTTGTGGATTGCCCTTTCCTGCAACAGCATTAATTGAATTTTCCAGGTATGTGTGCATTTTTACTGGCAGTAAACCACTTGGATAACTGTCCCCTTTCAAGACAAAACATTGCAAATGCACCATTTAGTCGATGCCAGAAATTTCGCCCATATCACCCTTGACCTACACCTCTCGGCTCACTGTGTGCACTATGTCGCAATTTCTATCCCCTTGTTGCGGATCTGGATGGTTATCAGCATCTGCTACTGCATGAACTCAGCACAGGCTCCATGTCCTGTACGCAGACTGGTGGTGAATTGTCAGATAAGACTGCTGTCGAAGCCATCGCACAGGCCGTGCCTGACCCAGAGCCAGTGATTGGACCCTTGGAACGCTCGCCCTCACCATCTTTGATACCATGTCCACCTTGCCTGAATCCGCATGCTGGTGAAACTGGCTGGCTGTCCAAAAAGGCTTACGTCTCCAGCAGGCTGCCCGCTGGGGATGATCGGATAGGCAAGACGCCCAGTGGGTCGGCCAGATCGACAGTTGCAGAGAACGGGGCAGCAAGGTCACGGTCCTTCACTGGCATGCCCAGCAGCAGGTAAGATCTATCTGCTTCATAACTTTTGCCAGGTTGTGATGTAGCACTACTCCTTGCTTTAGGGAATTGCAAGGAGAGGGGAAGAGAACACCAAAGAGATTCTCATAAGCAGTTTGTCCCAGGAAGAACAAGCATTGTGCTGCATGCCTGCTCCTTGCTGCAACGAATTTTCTACTTTAGGTGTTGATGGGCGTCGTTTCAACACATACCAGGTATAATGATGAGGGTGCCAGTCACAAGACGCCTGGCAAGGGCGAACAACCTCCGCCATCGAATGAGAGAATACGGTCAGCCAGCATGCCTGGCAGGCTGAATGAAGATCCAGACCAGCTGGGCAGGCCTGCGACTGGTGCCCTGAGGTTTGTGCGACTTGATAAGAAGGTTGTGAAATCGTCGACCATGCCAAAGGGGATCGGTGGGGGGCGGCCCGGGCTTGCAGTGGCTGCAGAAAGGGATGAGCATCCAGTGGAAGACGAGTATGTGGGGGACGTTGATGAGGAATGGACAGTGCTGTCGGACAGGGTTGATCGGGGTAAGGAGCAGAGAGCAGTCAACAAATCCAGGAGGGGCAATAACAGGACACCAGGTACTGCTGTGCCCTTCATGGATGGCCGTGTCTATGGCTTGGGCACGCAGTCAGCCCCAGCTTCAGCATACAATAGTCTGATCGCCGGCGCCAGGCCTTTGGAAGGCAGTCTTGAAGACGTGAAAGAGCAGGCCAATAGGGACAGCCCCATACCCGACAGATTAGACTCGGCTGATGAGCATGTTGCCAGAGGCAGTCCTATACCGAAGAGGCGTGCCTCAGCTGACTATTATGTAGGCAAGGGCGGCCACAAGTCCGGCAGGTCGCCGCAGGGCAGTGACTACCCTGACAACGATGTTGCCAAGCCGGCCAGGTCCACAGTGGCCGACGATCGTCGAGGCAGGACTAGGAACGTGTTGGACGGTTCTCAGCCAGTGGATGATGTCCTGGCCAGAGAGCTCCCGGTCCCTGGTCAATCAAAAACAGAGAATGATGCGGCTGGAGGCAGGCAGAGTCCTGGCAGGGTGGCTGCTGATGCTGGTCCTGTTCCTGGGACATCGGGAATGACTGTTGACAAGGGGGCTACCCAAGGCAGTCCCAGTCCAGGCAGAGGTGGGGAGCGAGAGGCACGTACTGGCACAGGGTCGACGACGTCCGGGAGGCCTGCAGATGCGAATGTCCCTGAGGTTAAGACGAGGACCAGGCCACGCAGGTTTGAAGAGATGCATGATGACGAGAGGGGGGGCGTTCCGCCAGGGAGGTTTGCGGAGGCTGAGGAGCAGGTGAACAACAATAATTCTGTGAACAGCGTATCTGCAGGCGACCTGGCACCAAGGGGGGTGAGCATGCATAGCAGATCAGGTGGGTCTGCATGCACCGTGGCCTGGCCCAGAGTGCTGCGATAGATTGATCGACGAATTGAAATTCCAGTTTGTTTATGGTTTTAGAAGTGAAGCTTGAATTCAGTCAATGTTCTTAAGGGACCTTTTTGTATGAGTTCATTTGTTGAAGTCTAGTATTGAAACACAACCAACATACCTTGACCTCATGCCATGTGTTTGGAGAAGCCACACATCCAAAATGCAATGGCGAGGCACATTTATGCATATCGTGCACACTCTGAATGGCTAAGCTGATGACTAACCTCTTGCAATCTATTTCAGCTATATTTTCCCAGTTAGTGGACAGTGCCTTGTTTAGCAAAGTGCAATGACGCTGCAGGAACCCTGGTAACCAGGCGCCATAACTTTTTGCTTGGCTGTCCATGGAGGTGGGCCCACAGGCAACACAAATCTGAGCAGAGACTGCTATTCATTGAATTCAATAAACTGGTAAACTTGTAAACTGCCTTGCAGATGTTGGGCATGGGGTGCATCCGCAGATGTGTGTTCCCAGGGTGCTTTGTTCATCCATGCCATGCTAGGTTGAGATTACGTAAACACAAATTAGAATTTTTAATCGTGTACAATGAGACACTTGTGCAGTCATGCACCAGTTCCATCAATGTCATAATCCAGGGCAATGGCACAACCCTATTTGTTGGACATCCCTCTACTTGGCAAGCAGGACAAATTCATGTCATCCATCTACCAAAGTCATAGCGAAAGCCTCCACTGTAAGACAACCTTCTTTGTACAACCAACCAACTTGTAGCTTTGAACGGAATGAGAGTGCAGAGTTGATGGCCCCTGTTCCCTCACCAGTAAAATGGTATTTTCAACAACCTCTGCCATTTTACCAGTAGTTCATTCTGGAAAGCATCAGCATTTATTTCCTGAGAACGATGTTATATTTTGGAGACAGAAAGAAAGAATATTCTGGAATTGTTCCATTGCCCCTTCCTCACAGGCATCGGGTCATCCAATGTTGGGCAGCAGTGTCTCCTATCCACATGCCACTTTGCACTCTTTGTTCCTGGAAGTTGCCCTTGCGTTCTCCAATTTAAATTAATTTAATTCGTACCACACACACATAGTATGTTGCCCATTTATCCTTTTTACCTGCATTGAATCTCCACGGGGGCAGTGTTTTCCTCTTGTGTTGTGTGTTGGTGTCAACTGGTTGTGCACATTGCAGTGGCTATTATACCATATGATGAAGACGATGAGGACAGCAGGGACCATCCTGAGAGGTTGGGCTACAACCCTGAACGTCCCATGCTGAGGTCCTTCACACCCACCTCACTAGGTGGGCGGTCTTCTCGTTCTCAGACCCCTGCCTTCAGCGATGACATTATGTCCCAACTGGCTGGCAGCGATCTGACCAAAGATGCCCAGGAGCCATGTACAGCAGGCTTGGTCAATGTTGAGGTGAGGTGGAAAACGAGTAGCGATGATGACAGATATTGATACGCATGATGTTCCATAAAAAGTATTCCCTCTGTCCCACAACAACTGTACCCTGTTTGGAATCGTTGGATTGTTAAATAGATGGCCAGATGTTCAAACAGACACTTGACACAGGAAGACCAGGCGCCGAAACCATCAATTGCTGCTCAAACCAAAGCAAATCTCTCCCTCACTGTGTTGTACATCAGCCAAAAGCTGAGTGGGGTTTGAAAGCGATGATTGGACAGCAATAGCCGTTCAAGCCCTTTGGAGCTCATTTCGACAGCCCCTGCCTTGATAGGATGACTGCACCAATCTTTCAATGAAACTTTATTGCAAATTCTTGAGGCGTGGCCTGGCACATTGGCTGAAAGAGAACCCCCCTGCACATAGCAATTTGGAAAATCCATGAAATTGGAAACGTTTTGAATTAGGTCATGGGGAATCAAAGCGAGTGCAGTGTTTAATATATGGGTAACTGAGTTACACAATGAGAAATTACTACTGAACCAGGCTTAGTTAACTGTGAGAAATGAACTGAGTGGAATAGGTTTATTTTTGAGTCCAATATGCTCCAACTCTGTATTTTTGCAACAGACGAGGTCTACTGCCAGCTATCGACGATGCGAGGTAGTTTGGCGTGAATGTTGTTGACTGTATGAACCCTGAGGCTGAAAACTTCAGAGCTTTCCATGCTGTTTTCTGGTTCCTCCATGTTCCTCCATGCCAAAGTTGTAACACATAGAAAATATCAGATGGCAACCAATGCCAGTTGATGTGGTGTGGACTGCTTTCTGTCAAACAAGGCTTTGCAGGTGGCACAAGAAGGATGCATTGTAACCTGAGTGGTGCCAGATTTCTCAAGTGGTCACCATCTGTTAGTCAGACATGTCATGAATTTGTGCACAGCTGCGCCTGCCCCCTCTTCGCCCCACCACCAGTGCCAAACTGACTAAGGTTGCAGCTGTGAATGGGTCATTGGTGGCGTTCCCATCGGTGACTGGTGGCTTGCTTCAGTGGATTGGCATCCAGGACAGCCTTGATGGGACAAGAGATTTGGCCAGGTGGGTTACAGGTTTGCTTCACTGACAGCACAGTGATAGTCTCATTGCAGCTGCACCAATTTATTCCTTGGAGCATTTGCTGCAAACTGACGGGTGGTTGGCCTGTCACTAAAGAGGCAAAGTGGGGGAGCGTTAGCCGCATGGCTCTCTGTGCCCACCCCTTGCGGCGTCTTTGCAACGACGAGGTTCAGCAACTGACCTGCAGATTTCACCTTTGCAAGAGATTTTGACTGGGCATCGCTGTGTTGTTCATCAGTGGTGTGCAGCTCTTGTCCCCTTTCCATCAGGAAGTAGTGATTTGGGGCTGACTTGTTCCTGCACTTGGCCATTATTGATCGTGCATGCTTGTCAGTGTGGCACAGTTGCGGCCATTGCAAGATTTTGGAGTCCACAATACCATTCATGTTGCGACAATATTCCTGTAGGTAGATGTGTCTGGCACAAACTGTCTTGCTTGGTACACAGGTGTGTCAGAGATGTGGTCTACTACTTGCTTTGCTGTATTCAGAATGTAGGCTGTAGCAGTGCAAGTTCAGACCTAGTCGTCCTGAGTATCCTACTGGCTTGCTGCTTGGTGTGATTATGTGTGTGTTTGGTTCCATGTGGGGTGTGTGGTGTAAAGGGGAAATGTGCCAGGAGTGAAAACTTGGTGCCCAGTCACTTTGCATCGCTTTGCCCTCTTGATACCCTCATGATTAATACAATTGATTATATATATTATATTGCACATGTGTAAATACAATCTATAAACACAATCTATATTATGAA